ATATGTTTTTGTGGATGTTGAAAACCACTAGAATTTTGTGTAACAATTCCTGCAAAGCAAACGGGGCTTTAGACGGGGCTTTAGAGCTAAAAAAAAAATATCCCTTATGTAACTGGTACATTTAAAGTAAAAAAAAACATTTGCTTCCTCATTTTTTGGAAGGTGCAGACTAGAGGGGACTTTAGAATGTAAGTATGCATGTTCAGGATTAAAGGGCTTATGGAATTTTATAGCGATTAAATTTACAGGACGTTTTTAGTGACAGTATCATTTTCGGCTTTTATTTCAGTTTACTTCATTAAGATGTGTCGGAAAGAAATTAAATGTTTAACTTCCAGTGAAACAAGCAAAAATTTTGAATTATCTCAAGCGAAAGGCAAAAGCTAATTCACTGTAAGTATTAAACGATTCATAAGGAAATAATTCCTATGGCCTTTAATGCAGACCCGTTTTGTCTGCTAGTGTGTGCATACTTGTGTAAGAATTGTTTCGCTGATAACAGTTCTGTAAAGGGCTCACACAGATGAAGGACCATGTTTTGCTTTTCTATCGTCAGTTATCGTACGCATTACCACCGAATCGATGCTTAACACCAAGGCGTAAAACGTTGCCGCTGCATCATCGGCAAAAAAGCCGTCGTTGTTGCCGTTAGCACCAGCGGAATAACTTACACCGTCATCGACTGCGTGATTTGTTGCCGCTGTTTTATCATTGCCGCTACTTGGTTGTTGACCAGTGTGCGGTGTCCTGTGATAAGATGTTTATATAACTGAACTGTTTACTGCAAACACTAGTTGTCTTTGATATTTTCATAGTAAATTTTTGGTTCCCTACAGTTCAGTCAGACATCGAGCAGCATATCTGGTCAGGTTACTGTTCTACAGTATTACGCCGGCAAGTACTGTTATCAGTGTAAGTTATAATTTTTTATATTTTTTTGCTGGGAAAGAAAGATTATCAGAGCAAAAAAAAATTTCTTTCCAAATTTCATGGTTATCAGTTGCAAATAAAACAAAGCAAGACAAAATAATGAACAAAAGTATATTGAGTAAGCTTAAAAATATAACTATAGTATCAAAAATTGTTTAGTTTGACTAGCAGTTAAGCTTTGCATTTGGCGCGAAGAGGCAATCAGAAGAAGATACGGCAATATGACTTTAATTTATTGTGAGGCAGAAACGCCATTTTGTCTTTTCTTCTAAATCCGTTTCGCGATACATATTTCTAAAAATCGTCTTCTTTTTTGCCTTCCAATTTTTTAATACTCCCTGTTTATGCAACACTTAAAAAATATCATTTATATGTTTCTCTCAACCTCCTAAGCGCACGTTGATTTCTTTGACGCTTATTTGGTACCTATGTTCATTAAAGCCATATTTAACATTAATTTTTGGTTTGATTCTTATTTTTAAATTGGTTTTCAGAAAAATCTGGAGAATTTTTACAGAAAAAAAATTTTTTTTTTAATTTTAGTATTTCTGAATGAGTTGTTGTTGTTGTTGTTGTTGTAAAAACAGTCTTTAAACGGTTCTCATAAGTGATGGACATTGCACTTGTTGAGGGTATCGCTGATCAGTTCTCTTTACAAATTCTCTTCATTTCATTTGATACTGATTTTATCGGTCCATCATTTCTTGCGTTTTTTTTTTTCGTCTTCTGAAGTATGCTGAAGAGAAGAAATAGAATAGGGCAAGACCAGTCAGTTGCCAAAGTTTAGCTAGCAGTTCTTTAAGAGTTTGAAAAAATTTTGAACCATTGAAAGGGAAAATTTATTCAAAATTTTGTCGTTATTAGAAAGTTTTCTTTCTTCTTTTTTTTTTTTTTCATCTTTTTAGTAAAAAACCTTCATCAATGATACATTCATACGTGTTACATTAACAAGTCAAGATTAAAGTTGTTGATGTTATTGCACAGTAGCAATTTAAACAAACGGTTTTAGTGAAATGGCATCTAATACTACGTTGTCACATTGTAGGATCATTGGACGTCTATGTGTGTTGTTGTTTGTAGCAAAAGTTTTACTTGAAGAATGCCGTTCAAATGATAAAGAGGAAAAAAAATTAGCGAAGAAAAAAACAATGCACAATGCGCTGAAAGTTGTTTAAACAAAAAAAGTTTTAGTGCATGACAGATTTAGCCCCAGCGGAACTACGCATCTACCGGTTCTTGTTTCCTGAGATCCAGAAGCAGAACGACTTTATCAGGTCACTTCAGTTGCAACTTTTTTTTTTCTTTTTAACGATAGGTACAGCGGAATATTTCTGAATGCATTTTATTTTATAATTTTTCGATGGTCACCCCAAAATTTTGCTTTCAAACAGCAGAAAAAGTTTTTTTTTGTTCAACTTTTTTTTTCCCCACTTGCGCCATATGCGCTGTTGTGATCTGCATTTTTGTCTTTGGGTAGTCAGCTGTTCTCTTTTGTTGCATCGGTCACTCCAGAAAATTTGTATCGTTTAAAACTAATTTTCACCACGAAGCCTCAACTTTTACTGAATATTCAACGCTGTAACTGAAAAAAACCTTTTTTATTATTACAGTTATTTGAACAATTACTTGCTTTTGAAACGTTTCAAAGTTGCTTATCGTTTTAAAAGTTATGACGAAGGCGTCGTCCCTGACTGTGGACAGAAAATTGCAAGGTAAGAAATTTCTTTGCTTTACAACAGCAGTAGTAACTTTTTAAGAAAGTTGCAGGAGACTTGCTTCTGAATGTTTTTTATTTGGTTTCGTGATGGCTTGCTTTCATATGAGCAAATGTGATGTGTTCTCCTTCCAGTTTTCCTTCATGCTATTGCTTTCCAGGTTGACTCTAGAAACTCCTACATCATCGCAAGCAATTAAACTAGCAAAAAAGCTCAACGAGTCGCCGGTAATGAAGGTGGAACTGCGTGATGGTACGTCTCAAAATTTTTTCGTAAATAAATTGTTTCCAAGGTTTTAAACAAGGTTTTTTATTGCAAATTAGAAAGAAATTTCTCTTTTTAGAAAGTTTCTCCTAACCTCATTTTTTGGAAAGGTCTATAATTAATCTTCTGGGGGTAAAATTTGAAGAAAAAAATTAACTTCTGTGTCCAATTTAATGGATAAGTATATATATA